CTAAGGATGTCTCCCAGGATATATCGGCTAAAGAGAAGGGAAGGATCCAAATAAGCTGAGATCTGGAGGATGAATGCAGTAATATCAACGCTAATTCATAAGAATTTGGAAAGAAGAAAATAGAGAAAGTGAGAAAAACAACCCGAAGAACTACCAGCTGACACTTCTCTAGAGCTGCAGAGAAGCCAGGGGAGGTCTCACAGGCCGGAACCGAGGCACGTGGCTGCCCCAAGCCTGTGCCTGGAGGGCACTGCTCTGGAGAAGTCAGGATTTACCCACGGCCGGTGCCGGAGCCCTCCAGTTCCAAGGTCCTTGAAGAAATTGAAGGTGGAGCCCCCCCAAAATGAGGGCTCTGAAGCAAGAAGGATGAGGGACACGGGTGCCAGCTGGGTAGCCTGCAGTGTCTGCTCCACTGTAGATCATTTCAATAAATGCAGAAAAGGCACACAATGCAATTCAACACATACAGTAAAAAAAACAAAACAAAACAAAAAACAAAAAAACACCTTAAAAACCAGAAACAGTGGGACATGATTAACTGATAAAGCACATTTACCAAAACTTTCCGCTAACCTCATCAAGCTCGCTGGTGAAACTTTAGAAGAATTTGAGTTAAAGAAAGGAACAGGACAAGAGTGCCTGCCGTGGCTCACCCCTGCTATTCGGTGCAGTTTAGCAAACACCAAAAGTCCTCCAGCCAGCAAGAGTTACAGACAGAGAGAGAAGGGGGGGAGAGGGGGGGAGAGAGGGAGAGAGAGAGACTAACAGACATGGGGAAGTGTGCAGATTGAAAGGAAGAGGAAGAAAGACTCTTACTTGCAGCTAAATCAGCTCTTAAAACCAATACAAGTTGGCAAGGACACGATATAAAGTCAACGCCAAAACTCGACAGTATTCCTTTATGCCAGAAAGTAGCATTAAGAAAAATACCATTCACAAAAGCAACAAAATATAGAATGACTAGAAATAAGTTAAACAAAATATGCAAATTTATGGGAAAAGTTATGAAATTTTATTAAGGAATGAAAGAGGTTTTCCTAAACTATGCTAATTCAATGAAATGCCAATAAAAATCCCAAAAGTATTAAGCAAAAAAAAAGATGCAGAAATGCAATTTTGAAAAGGAGCAAAAAGAGAGGACTTACCTCACCACATATTTCAAATTCAAATTCATAATGTTTTTAAAGTGTGATTTTACGAAAATGACCAACAAATGGGTCAGAACAGAGCCCAGAAGCAGATCCATTTCTACATGGGAACTTCCTCTTTAACAATGGTGGTGTCGGAAATCTTGTGTGGAAAAATAAGTTATTCAGTAGTGTTGGGAGATTGGCTAAATGTTTGGAAAAATGGAGATACAACTAGATTCTGACCAGGATAGAAAAACAGAAAGTCTGTTAAGTTTAAAGAGAGAGTAGCCACGCAGTGAAAAAACCCAGGCTTAGGCCCGGAGTCTTATGTAAAACATCTGTGTCCCGGCTTCTCCACTCACCAAGAGAGAAAACATCACTCCTTCGGAGAGAGACTATTAACATCCCTTCTCCCTGAGCTCACTTGATCAGCCCTAATTATCTAGACTATGGCCCACACCTGGAAACAATTAAAAACCCACACGAGGAGACCAGCGCGATGCCTTACCATCTATCGATATATAGCAGAGTTGGTGCGTTATACACTTCGGCGAGACCCCAGACCCTTACAGTCCTCACAATCTTGGTGTTGTGGTTCCCTGCACATGAAAGACCGGAAGCAGTGAGTTAAAAGCAGGGCACAGGGAAAGGCCTGAAGTGCAGACTTGGGGTGAGGTTGACAAGGGGAATGGGCGGTAGAAAAAACAGCTTGAATACCTTCAGAGTCATTTAGTTTTCTAAATCTCATTCTCACCTAAAAAAACCGTGATTCAAATCTTAGATAAACATTTCTCAAGCCTAGCTGCACATTAAATCACCTGGCGAGCCCCCTTTAAAAAACAAGTTCTGCCCAAGTCTGCATCTCAGAGACTCGGGTCTCAATGGTCTGGGCTGGGGCCCAGGCACAGGTGTTTTGAAAGCTTCCTAGGTGACTCGAATTAGCAGCCAGGGCTGCGACTGACCTACTAGCTGAACGGTTCGGCGCTACTGCAGAGCCCAGAGGCCCGGGTGCCTCCAGGCCCTTCACAGCTTGCTGTGGTCATGGATGATGCTCAGGGTGACAGTGATCACTGGGATTTTAAGAGGGCAACACTTTATACATGAGAAGTGATTTTTAACAGAAAATAACACAACTAAATGATACAGAGACAGATATTCAGCTGTGTCATAACTAGAGAAATCTGGGGAAAACTGGTGCCAGGGGGCCACTCCCAGGAAGGGAGCTCGCTTTCCTGCAGACCAGCAGTTACTGTGTCCACAAATCACCTGGGGAGCTTGTTACAATGCCGATGCTGACTCAGGAGGGCTGGGGAGGCCTGGAGATGCTGTGCTTCTCACCAGCTCTAGGTGGCGCTGCCATCACTGGGTCAGGGGCCACGGGTAGGGTAGCAAGGCTCTAGTACCTACCCATGGCCAGGACTCCCTCTCAAGCCCCTTCTTTGGAACCCAAAAGATGGGGATGGCTTCCTGCTCCTGAAGAATGAATTCCAGCGGGGTTCTTGATAGCCAGATCCACTCTGCTCAAATCCAATGGCTTCCCTGACCTAAGGGGATGAGTTAATCCATCTCTTCGGTGAACCGGCCCCTCCTCCCACCAGGCAACTGTGTGGGCTGCTCAGGGACCGCTGAGTGAGAGGTTTGCAGAGCATTGAACTCAGGCCACTCACTATAAAAGGTGGCAGCGAGGTGGCCAAGGATGGTGACTTCCCCAGGTCAAAGTCAAAACTGGGTCTGAGTCAGGGCATGAAAGCATCAGTTAAGCATTCCACTTTTAAAAAGAGTCAGAAGAATTGCTTTGTGTTACTTTTCTACATGAAACATCCCCTCAATTATCCTCAGGTAGCCAGCAGATGAATCAACAAAGTGTTGGACTCCCAAGTGAGGCCAAGTGGCCGTAGGGCCCCAGGAAGGGCCGGTACCTGCCCAGGGGCTCCCCATCTCTGAGATCAGCCAGCAGCGGTTGTTCCCCCTCTCGTGGAATTTCCACGGAGAACGCCCACGCCTCCACACAAGCTGCCCCACAGACTCCCCAGTGAAGGAGATGACCCTCCTTCACTCTGCAGTGTCTGGAAACCCCTTCTCAAATGATTTACCAAGCCTCCACAGAGTGATGCAGTCCCTTTGTTCTTTCAAAAGGCGGGGATCATCTTCCCAGAACATTCCGGAGCATAGCTAGCCTAATGGGCTTGATTCTTGTCCCTTTTTTTGTTCCTTTGTGGCCTCTTTCAACAAGCAGAACAAGTGCTGATGAAATGGGCAGACCCCGGGGCATTCTGGGCCTTGTAGCCACAGATATGGCCGGGTCAGTGGCCACATGCCTGCTACTGCCCCCTTTCCCAGTCACAAGAGGCCGCCCAGCAGCCTTGTTTCAGCGGGCCTTGTGACCGCGTTTGACCTCAGAGCTCAGGACTGGGCTGAGACTTCCCCCACAGAGCACAGAACTGTGTGATCTCTCTCCCAGCAGCTATCTGGGTCCGGAATTAAGAACGAAGCGCAAGGAAATCAGCCTGAAAGCCACCAACACGTCCAGGGGTTGAGCTGGGGAAAGCGTTGCTGGACTGGTGTCTGCCCCCGCCCACTCAGCACTTCACTGGGCTTTTGTCTCCTGTTTTATGTTCCTCATAAACCCAATTCCATCTCTGTCGCCGTGGTCTTCCAGAGTGCCTTCCTGAGAGTTACACTGTCTGGTTAGGCAAAGAAGCACATATACACCTTCGCTGTCCCAGGGTCAGCTGTTCTGTTCATTTTCACTTTTTGACATTTCAAACGACCACCCGTTATTCTCTTGATGCCTAGTCAGAGCGACAGGAAAGAGCTAGAAGTCCCGGCACCACACTGCTACCCGTGCTGAGGTCAGACCGAAGAAGCTGGAGCCCGTTTTACGTGTTTCTCATTGTTCTTCATTTTCTTAATTGCCTTAATGGGCCCATGTTACTGCAAAATGAAGTAATGTTGTTTTCTTTGTTTGCTGTAATTCACAGAGAGACTGTTCGGTCACATAACCCAGGGACTTTTCAAATCCACTGGTCTCACTCGGGGTGGAGGGAAGGGTTTCTTTTGAAGTATTGATTTTGAACAATGTTTTCACTAATGAATTCAAAGCCTATGAAGAAGGGAAAAAACCACGTTTCTTCACCACCATGTTTCACAATAGCCACTAAATGACCAGAGGAGCATCAGAGCCATAGAAATTGCATGTCTTTTGTGGGGGGAGGGGAGCTTCAAGATTTGCACTTTGCCAAGGAAATTGATTCTGACACCCAAACCTATAGGCTGAAGATGATGCCGTGAACCTGAGGAACTCCAGGTCTGGTTTAGCTTTGCACAGGTCTCTTATCCCAAAAGATGTGGAGGGGGCCCTGATTCTGGGTTGCCTGGCATTGACCACAAGCTCCAAGCAGAAGCTTGGAGTCCTAGGTCTGGGGTGTGGCTTCCCCGGGCACACACAGTGGCTGACTGAGACAGTAGGGTCCAGCAGGAGGAAACCCACTGGAAGAAAGGGCCAAGGCCACCCGCATGGGTACCTCGCCATCCCTGGGGAGTCAGGGGGTAGAGGGCGAGGTTGATTGGCTGGGGGGCCTCAAGGAAGTACCGGGTCTGCGGGATTTGCTCTGTGGTCCTAGATGCTGGCAGGGTCCTAGGGAACAAGTCAGGCTTAGGCACACAGCTACAGATCCAGCTGGTCGGCCCCACGTGCCCTACTTTAGTTTGCTCTGCACCCCGCCCTGCAGAGTGCTCCATCCTCCTCCAGCCCCGCCGCATGGGGGCGCCTAAGACCGAACCACTATAAAGCATGGAGCCTTGAGTCCATTGACAAGCAAGAGGCTGTGAGAGGCTGCGGCTTATACTCCTTAGACCGCCGCAGGCGTCATGGCTGACTTCCAATACAGTTCACACAGAACCCTGCACCCGGACCGCCTGTGGATCTGGCGGCCGGGTGTGTACGTGGACGAGAACGACCGCACGTGGGTGACCGTAAGGGTCGAGGTACGGCCGCGTCGGGGCCCCCACCGGGGCAGGGCAGCATGAGTGTCACCATCCCTGGCCAGGCCATGGATGCCAGAGACGCCCCAGGCCGCGCACAGCCCTGGAGGAGCCCCCAGGGTGCAGCAGGGCGAGCGCATCGGAGGGAGGCTCGGAAGGTCTGATCTTCCCGGGGCGCCCAGCGGGGCTCACAGGGGAAACCGGTTTGAGCTGGGCTCTCCGGAGGAGTCGGGTTCTCCAGGCCGGGCTGGGGACGTGGGGAAAAGGCACATGGGCCAACGGATGGGGGCCAAGTGCCTCTGGAGTGTGTGGATGTGATCTTGAGTGAAATAGGAATTTTCTGGGTTTCGCGTTCCTGGTCAGTAGTATGGGAACGTTATCTCTCTAAAGCTGCGATTTTCAACCGGTGTGCTGCGGCGGACGCGCTGGTGCGCCCCAGGAGTTTTTGACAGCCTGCAACACCTGGCTAGTCCGGGGCACGGACCTCTTTTCCCTTAGGTTGTCAGATTTAAAAATGACAACAGCCAACACAACAAAAGCCGACCAGTGTGAAAGAGTGTACCTACTTTTTGTATGTCAGGTTGGCCCGAAAATACACTTTTTGGTTTGCCACAGAATTTTAGTAATTAGTTCATGTGTGCCGTGAGATGAGAGAGGTGAAACATCACTACTCTGAAGTAAGTGGTTCATACACGTGGCTCATGATCAGAGCGAATCCCCTCAGGTGGCCTCAGACGCCTGTGTTTAAAGGGCCCCTGCACAGGTTATGGATGGCGGGTTGGGGAACCACGGCCCCAGAGCTTGGGATACTCCATTTCTCTTGCTTTGGGGGGGGGGAAAAACTCCACAAACTTATGCAAATGCACAGCAATATAAAAGCCAGTGTCGAATGGGTGTTGCCTTTGTTTTCTGGGTGATGACTGAAGACGGAGCTTCGGTTAATGCCGACTTTTTTTTTTTTGTAGAACTGTATCTCACTTACAGTAATTTCCATTACATCGTGGGTTTCCCTATGGAAACTTAGACGAAAATGCTGGAACTCTTTTCATATGTAAACTGAAGTAGAAATGTGTAAAAGCAAAATCAAAAATATAATATTGCAAATTTATGTAATATAATAACAAACAGGAAGAAGATATTGACAGTGATGATGCCCCCACTTTACAGATGAGAAAACTGAGGCATAAAAATGTAAATTAGTCCCAAGAAATGTAAATTAGCTGGTTAGTTAATAGGGCCAGCATTCTAAGCATTTAACCATCATCTAATTTTGCACTTTATTGGCATTTCAAATGTATATCTAAATATGAAAATATGTATAAAATATACATATGCATACTTGAAAAAACCGAGTTAAATATTTACTTTAATTCAAGTAGTTGAAGAAAATTTAAGTAAATTTTTTCAACTCTAGCTGAGGAATATCTTCAACATGGCTTCCAAACCACAAAGCAGAGTTTCACGTACTCATGATAAATTCTGCACAAAACATAACCCATTAGCAAACAGTGGGCCAGGATTTGTCCCGCATCACTGAAAGAACCAGTGTTATTCCTTTTTTTTTTTTTAAGATTTTTATTCATTTATTTTTAGAGGGGAGGGAGGGAGAAAGAGGGAAAGAAATATCAGTGTGTGGTTTCCTTTCACACTGGGGCCTGGCCCACAACCCAGGCACGTGCCTTGACTGGGAATCGAACCAGCAACCCTTTGGTTTGCAGGTTGGCACTCAATCCACTGAGCCTCACCAGCCAGGGCAGGACCAGGATTCTTCATATGTAAAGGTTTCCTTAAATCAACAAGCAAACGATGAAGAAGCAAACTAAAAATGGTTGAAGAATGTGGAAGACCACCTAATAACACCAAGAATGGTGATTCCCACACTTAGACTTTGCAGGATGATCTGCATTCTTTTTTAACAATGAGTTCTCATTTATTTCATAATGGCAAAGTTTAAAAAGCTATTTCCACTTTGGAAAAATAGTCATTGAACAAACACGAGTGCCCAGTTCATATGCCAAGCACGACCCTCCTGGCGAAGCTTCCTCCTGGGCGCTGCCTGCTGTGTATTTGCCTGTCCTTGCACTTGAATCCTCTCAGCGCTGTTCTAGGCATGCTTCTCATGCGTATCCTAGAGCTGGGTTTTGCTGCATTTGTCTTCCCAGAAGACATACATTTGAGCAGATTTCTCCCTCAAAGAAAGGAGTAAGCCCTGCACGCATGGGGGGGGGGGATGTTCTAGGCAAAGAACCCCAGGTATAAAAGCTCACTGAAGAGTGGCATGTCCCAGAAATAATGAGGAGTCCTGGGTGGCTGGAGGAGGGTAGTGGGTGATAGGTAGACAGTAGAGGAGGAAGGAGACAGGGGCCTGGCTACGTGGGCCTGGGGACCCTGATAAGGATCTCAGTCCACTCTGCCTGCAGTGGGAAGGCACTGGAGGGAGCAGGAACAGAGGTGATGTAATCCTTGGACGATCCCTCTGGCTGCATGCCAGCATCTGATATTTGGGGGGCACACATCCAACAAGGTGTCAAGTTAGGAAGTCATCGTAGTACTCCGGGTAAGAGACGATGGCAAAGGGATGAAGGGCGGATGGCAAAAAGGGGTCCGGCCCGTGATTCTGGGGTCTGGGGATATCTTGTTTAAAAGGAGATGTATGACCAAATAAAGGGGGGAAATCAAAGAAAATCCCACATCAGCTGAAATGGGCATGGAACCCTCAAAGTGATGGCAGCTCAAGGCCCCGTGGCAACCAGCAGTGTATCAGGAAGATGAGGGCCTTTGTGACCCATCTGAGTGTCTGGACATGGGACTGTCCCAGCCAGGGGTCCCAAGAGAACCACACCTGGCTTAAGGAATGGAGCTTTCAGGAGAGTGGCTCCAGCATCAGAGGCATCAGCAGGCTGGGCCAGGGGCTATTTGTGTCTGAAGGAGCCCTGAAGATGTGCCCTGCCTGGTCTTCTCTGCAGGAGGAAAATGGGCTCAAAGCGCTCTTGCGCCAGGAAGACGTGGACCGGGGGGAGGCCATGCGGCCCAGCCAGCTGCCCCCAAGTCCGCTGCCCGTCATGTGGCAGCTCTACCCTAGCCAACAGTATCGATCCTCAGACTCCAGTTACTGGCGTATAGTGTACCACATCAAGGCAAGTTTGTGCTTCTTCGGGGATCCATCACGTCAGGCCGGCGCAGGGGGGCCCTGCTCCCCATCTCCCACACCTGGCCTCTGTAGTATATTGGTTCCCTCTGTGTCTGCACCAAAAATTAAAAAAGAAATAGTGCACGGGGGTACAGAACTTACAACTACAGATTCTTTTAAAGGACTGGGTTAGGGGGAGGGTAGAGCTGAGTGGCCAGGTTACCTCCGGGTTATCTAACAGAAGCACCCCTGGCTGTAGGAGGGCCTTTCTGGTGGGCATCACAGGGTGAAGGTTGGTGGGAGAGGAACCCCCCGGGTCCTTCCACGTGGTACCTGCCTGCTGCTGTGAGCTGGTGGAAGGCTGGGGAGCTGGGAGTGGAGGGAGACTCCCCGGGGCTGTGGTCCCAAATTCCCTTCTCTCTGTAGGTCTGTGGCACTGAAGACCTGCTCCTTGAACAAATTCCAGAATCGTAGTGCAGGTGATTGGTGAGTACCTCTGGGCCCAACAGCAGTGAGTCCAGAGTTTTGAGGAGGTACAGTGGCTTGTCCAGATCCCAGAGGCAGGTTTCCAACCCCAGTCTCTGACACCAAGCCGCCTGCTCTGTTCATGACCTGCTGTAGCTCATCCCTAGGCCTCCCACCTGGGACCAGCCCTGACCACCGAGGTCCCCCGCCCCTGGCCAGACTTACCCCACAGCTCTGCTCCCACCCACCCTCCACCCTGCCCTTCACCCCCACCAAGTTGTCCCTTCTCCTTTGACTCTGTCTTCATTTGTCCTTGTCCCCAGGTCCTGCAGTGCCCATCTCCCTGAGCCCCAGTCCTGCGGTGGGGATGTTCACGCCTCTGTTCACCTTTTTTACCAGTCTGTTCTGTCCTGCTCTGCCACAGCCGGGTCCAGGGGAAGGGACAGGCAGGGGATGAGCCCTGCCCAGGGCCTGCTGGAGCCTGCCTGCAGTCCCCTCGGCCTCCCTTGGCAGATTGGCACTAGAGGGCACCTGGGCCAGTGTAGCTCCCTCCAAGTGCCCGATCTGTACCCATGCCTCTGGTTTTCTCAGGTTTTGCCTGATGGTTTGCGGCCTCTTGGTCTGCTCTGTCCTCCCAGCAGCTAACGCCGTGCGCTGCACACACAGGGCTGCCTCTTGTTCTCTTCCCTCCGCTCCATGCACCTCTGGCTGCCAGGCCATGGGGCCTGCTCGCCTGAGCCCGGTAGGCCTGGCCCTCAAGCCCCTGGTCCAGCTCTCCCATGTGGTGCATGCCTAGACACAGCCATGTCTGCCAAAGCCCCACCTGCCAAGCAGGTTCATGTGCTGTTCACGGGAAGGCCTGAGAGGAACCCTGGTCTGTGCTCAGGACTCAGAATCCTCCTGGTCAAGGGTCCGCAGCCCCTGCCCCCTCAGGAGGCCAGCCATGCGAGTCCTGCGGACAGGCCCTCTGGCAGCCCTCTGATAGGACAGAGGTTGAAGGTCCCCCCCTTTTATCGATGCCCACACACCTGAATGTTCTGAGGTTGTATGTAGCATGAACACTTTGTAATATTAATTAAATGTATGACAATTCATCTTTGTGCTGAATCAGCTTCTGTCCTTGACCTAGATTCTGGTGGAGAGGAGCGAGAACAGGCAGTCACCAAATAAGAAAATCTGAAAGGGAAAGAATGCTCATGAATTTAGCATACTTCCTGTACTTGGGAGCTTAGGCTGGAATTTTTTTTCCATATGATTCAAACATTCAAAAACCCAAAGTTCTAGGAGGCATGATTTGAGAACGACTGGGATAACTGAGTGCAAACTCTAGGTCTTCAAAAACCTCTCTGACTAGCCCCGCCCCCTCATTCTGCAGGGGGAGGGGGGGCGGACAGCCAGCTAGCTGTCTCCTTACTGCTCTGGCCATTCACCAAGCTGTCCTTACATGGGTAACACCAATGCCAGAAAGAGTCTACCCTCCCTGAGACTGTCCCCAGCCAACCAAGCCCCAACCAATCTTTCCCAACTCCCATGACCTGTAGTCCCCCCCACTCTGAGCTGGGTCCCTCCTGCTTCTCAAGATCAGCTGCCTCTACTTTCTGAGCAGGTAAGCAGGCCCTCCCCACTTATATCTATCTGACTTCAGTCCATAGCTTCATCAGAGAGGTTCCCGATAGGCATGGGCTGTCGGGTATCTAATGAGAGAGTTGTGTAAGAAAAACACTTCTCCTACCTTATGTTCTCTGTCCCAGTCTTCCATGCACTGGACAGGTTTGGGTCTCCACACCTGACACCATCTGTGGCTCCTGTCATTTTAACCCCATCACCTTGCACAGTGCTTGGCAGGGTAAGAGTTTGGGTCGTGGGAACCCCTACTAGACAGACACCTCTCAGGGACAGAACACTGGAGCAGGAGGGGTGCCAATTGCCCCCCCTTTTAGGCCCTGAAAGAGGGAAGGTTGTGTCCCAGCCCAAATTCACACACCGATGCCCTGATTCCCCGTGTGTGGATTTGCAGGTGGGGCCTTTGGGACACGATTCGGGTGAGATGAGGGCTCGAGGGTGGGTTCTCCTGAAGGCATTTGTGCTCTTACAAGGAGAGGAGGTGAGGACAATCTCTCCACACAAACCCGCCAAGGAAAGGCCATGTGAGGACACAGAGGAGGGCTGTCCCTACACACTAGGAGGTGGACCCTCACCAGAATGTAAATCTGCCAGCACCTTGATCTCAAAACTTCCCAGCCTACAGAGCTGTGAGAAATATCTATTGTTTAAGCCACCCAGTCCATGGTGGCCTGTTATAGCAGTCCGAGATGACAGAGACATTCCTTGTGCAAAATTTTTTGTTTGTGAAACCTTTGACCGCCATTGTGAGTTGTAGTGGGTGCTGCTGATACAGCAGTGAGCAAAACAAAGGCCCTGCTCTCATGCGGTGTTGACCCTGGGAAAAAATGAGCAAGAGCTTGAGATCTGCAAAATCCTGCCAAGAAAACAGAACAGGGCACTGTGGTGGTGCAGTAGGTCAGGCAGTAAAAAGGTCACTTTGGCCGAATACAAAATGGTAGGCTCACATTTTCTCTCTTGAGTATATATTACACCATTTACTCCATTGTGTTTTAACTTAAAAGTCTTCTATAAAGGTCTTGTGCCATATAAATAACTTGCTAATTTTACTTTAGGCCAAAAGGGCTTTTATTCTATAAAGTCTAACAGTTTTAATAGAATTGACTGTTCTGGCCATGTGTCCCAGGCACATTTTGTCCCCTTTAAATTTGTAGATTCAAGTTATTGTGTATGTTTGCTTTCAGGAAAGTTTTCTTTAATGGTTGCTTATATTTGTTCTTCTGTACTACCTTTTCTTTCTTTGGTGGTGGGTGGGGGGCTTCTATTGTGCATATGTTGGATCTTCTTTGTCTTCTATATCCACCAATTTCTCTTTAATTGTTTTAATATTTTTCTTCTATTTTTTAATGTTTCTACTTATAGTACTCTTCTTCTCTTCCCCTCCTTGTTACTCTGCTCGTTTTTTAAAGGGATTTCACAGTTCTCCTCATTACCCCTTACTTCAGAGCCCCAGCATCTGCTCGTTGAGTGTGGATTCTGGAGGATCGCACATCTCATGTTCCACACACATCACCCCACTCACGCCGGGCACCACTGTGGTGTCTTCACCATGGGGCTGCAGGTGACCAAGTTTGGGCCACATTTGGAGTAAGTTGGAGAGTTTGCGGATGTTTGTGGGTTACAGTCAGACTATGCCTGAAAGTGGAATATTAGACATTCAACTTGAAAAAGCTATAGCATCATCCCCCCTTCTACTCTCCTCCCCATGAAGCCAATCACCTCATCTGTGAGCTCCTTTCTACGTTACTGACCCCTTCCCCCTTGAAAAAGCTAATGCTGGAAATGCTAACCTTTTTTCTTATGTAGAACAACTAGGTCCATTTGACTCGAGGCTAACTTTACTTGATTCAATGCCACATTGATGTGTTTTACTAAATAAAAGACAATTGCAAAAAGAAAGTATGTCTCTCCCCTTGTCAGGCTGCTATGACCAATTGTGGGTTCATATTTTCTTTCTCTTTCTGCCTCCTTTCTTCCTAGAATACCTGCTCAGGATGTTTGAGTTGAGAAGGAAGGAAGAAGGGAGAGAGAGTTTGCAAAAATGGAACCCATGGAGGAGCACTTACTAGGAATCAGGTTAGAGACAGGGTGCTGGAGGAGTGGGCAAAGGCCAGGGGAAAGGAATGAGTTGCCCAAGACTAAAAACAAGCTACTTTGCTAAGAGAGTGCCCCTGTAAGAATCTACCCCTCCAGGTATTATTATAATAATGCCTCCTTTACACAAGAAAACAGGAGCTTGGAGAGATTATGTACTTTGGGCAAAGTTAACATAGTAAGAAGCAGACCTGGATTAAAACAGGCAGCATGGCTGGAATCTAGCTCCCAGTCACCATGCTGTTACTGTACAGACTTGGAAAACAACCACATGTGGGTGAATCCCAAGGACTTCTTATTCTGACCCACAGTAAAGGGTTTTCACATCTCAGATCCTCAGTTTCCTCACCTGTAATGAGACAGGTACATTAAAACCTATCTCTTAGCTGTGGCTGGTGTGGGTCGGTGGGTTGAGCATCAGCCTGCAAAGCCAAGAGTCACCGGTTTGATTCCCAGTCAGAGCACATGCCTGGGTTGTGAGCCAGGTTCCCAGCAGGGGGCGTATGAGAGGCAACCACACATTGATGTTTCTCTTCCTTTCTTGCTCTTTCCCCTCTCTAAAAATAAATAAAATTTTCTAAAAGAAACCTATCTCTTAATATTCTTTGAATATTAAACCAGCTAATTAATGTAAAATGCCTGGCACATAATAGATTCAATAAAATTTAATATTCTTTATTATATTTCCTATATTTCATGGAAAGTATCACTAACAGCTTCCTCCGAGAAAAAATCAAAAACTTTTTAAAGATCATTTTACTTTGTAAAAACATAGCCACTAAATAAAAACATTGAAGGACAAACCAAATGCCAATGCTATTTATTTTAAGTTAAACAGAAAAGAGAGAATGACTGTTGGTCTTCAGCTAAAGAGATGATAAATATTGCAAGAGCAATACAACTTGCTTTATTTAAAAACACACATGCACCCTGGCCGGTGTGGCCCAGTGGACTGAGCACCAGCCTGCACAGGGATCACTGGTTTGATTCCCAGTCAGGGCACATGCCTGGGTTGTGGGCCGGGTCCTCAGTAGGGGGCCTGTACAAGAGGCAACCACACATTGATGTTTCTCTCCCTCTCTTTCTCCTTCCCTTCCCTTCTCTCTACAAATATAATCTTTAAAAAATAAAAATGACACAATTCCCTTGTTTGAGAGGGTCACCTTAAAAAACCGTGACATGCAATCACAAATAATTGGGTCGAGTTTTGCTCCGAGTTACAACTGCCTTTTCTCAACATTTCTGCTTTCCTTGGAGACTGTTCAACAGGGTGACGAGCACCCCCACCCCCA